TATAACAAACCAACCACTCTGATGGGGAATATTAATAGTGGGGGAGGCTGTGCCTGGGCAGGGACAGAGAATATATGGGAACTCTATGTAATTTATGCTCAATTTTGCTGTGAACCTAAAAAATAAGTATTTTATTTATTTTTTATTTTATTTATTTTATATTTTATTTATTTTTGTATAAAATTTATAAATATTTTTATTTATAAAAAATAAAGTCTGTTAAAAAGAAGACAGAAAAGACCAATTACCTACAAAAGAGAAATAGACTAATACCCGATTTCAAACAACAATGGAAGCCGGAGACAGTGGAATGATAGTTTTGATTGTTGAGAAAAAAAAACGATTGCCAGTCTGGAAACCTGTAGCCAGTGAAAACACTGTCCAAAACTACGGATTAAATAATGTCATCTTGGGCAGACAAAAACTGAAATTGTTTGCTACTGAGTCAACTCTCTCTAAAGGGAATTCCAAAGGATGTACTTCAGGTGGAATTAAAATTATTTGAGCTGGAAAATCTAGGGCTTAAAAAAAAATGAAGATCAGAAAAAGTGATAAAAAGTGTTTGCAAAAATGGCCACACTTAGGTCTCTCTTGGTATCTACGTCCCTCCCTTTGCAATGTGATGTTATTGTTCCTTTTAGCAAGAGGTGGACTCTATTTCTCTATTCTGAATTTGGGTTTGGCCTAATTCATGCCCAAACCAATGATATGTGGCAGAAACGATGTGCCAGTTGGAAACTGCCATTCATTATCTTGGATCCCTGAACTGTCATGTTCACAAACCTAGGCTAGCCTGCTAGAGAGTGAAAAACCACATGAAGGAGCTGATGAACTCAACCATTATAGATCTGTTCAGCTCCCAGTTGACCAGCCTCATATGCAAGTTCAGCTGTGATCAGCTTCAATTGGCCTAGACCAAGAAAAACAGCCCAGCCTATCCACAGTCTCATGAGAAATAATAGATGGTTATTATTCTAAGCCACTAAGTTTTGAGGTGATTTGTTATTCAGCTAGGAGCCCAGGAGTTAGCAATAGATAAAAATAATATAAATCAACATTAGCTCATAGTTTAAAAAAAATACGATAGTAACAAAATATACAATAGATAGTATTGACCAGAATTGGAGTGTTTTAAGGTTTAAAATAAAGAGATGTTTGTTTTTCTAATATAATGCGAACTTCAGTGGTAAGCACTTAGAGCTGGTACAGTTGCTCAAGGGGTTTATCAAGGATCCAGACTCCATTCCAAGTTTTCTACTCTATCCATTCCTATCTTCTGTCTCCTATTCCTAGTTATGGCCACCATCCTTATGCTCACAGAATGGCTGCTATTCCTCTGGGCATCGCAGCTATATTCCCGATGGAAAGAAGGTGAGGATGTGATGGGTCTATCTCTTCTTTATAGGGAAAACAGTATCTTCCCAACAAGCTCTACCTGGTAGACTTCTTATATTTCACTGGCCAGATCTCTGTCACAGGGTCATATCTAGGCGCCAGGTGCCTAGGAAATTAAGATTTTTAGCTAGGCAAACTGCTTTCCCAAAGGAAATGAGGATTCTGTTTACAAAGTGAATGTAGGAATGAATGTAGTTTAGGCAACTAACTGCCTGTGCTCTCCATTTGGAAGAAAACATTTTACTTGAGGGAGTACTCCAAAAGGAAAAGCAAACAATGTACTTGGCATGAAGACTGAAAGGCAGCACTGTACAGAGGACAAGGCACTGGAGGGAGAGTCACTTAGTCCTGGCTCTGAAGCTGACCTGCTGGGGGCTGGTCTTCCGTTTCTTCCCCATTAAATCAAGACGGAGTAAACAAGTCTTTTTCAAAGCCTGTAGAGACTATGAAGGGAATTAACATTTATGATAGATTCTTCATGTGCAATAGCTCATTTAGACCTTACAGCAAATATATGAGTCAGTGTCATTATCCCATTTCACACTGCGGGAGGTGAAGTCTCAGAGAAATCAAGTAGCGTGCACAGATCCTACATCTAGAAAAGGGTAGAGCCAGAATACCAGCTAGGCCTCCAAAGCCAGAGGCTTTTCTTCCCATTGCCCTCCCTTTCTCAAAAGGTGAAATAAGTATGTGCATTTTCATTTACTGAATTTCAAGGTAACGCTTTCTAAACTAGTGTCTTTTGAAGTGTGGCCTGGTGACACCCGCAGCAAAATCACCTGGGGTCTCTGTTACAAATTGCAGAGTCCTGGACTTCTATCAGATGAACGGATGCAGACTCTCTAGGGCTGATGCTCAGCAATCTGCATTTAAAAAAAACTTTCCAGCCAATTTGGACTCGTTTTGAAGTTTGAGAACCATGATTTTGAACTTGTAATTTATTGTTCCATTCCAATGTAGTTTATTTATGGGTCTGTGGCTCATGGAAATTTCTTCCTAATATCAGGAAAATAAAATTTAAAAATAGTCTGTTTCTCCTTCCTGTTCCTCGGTGTTCTAATGAAGACACTCAATTCCATGGAAAATGTTAAGAACTGGAAGTGTGTCATAGAAGATAACCCAAGGCTGATGAACTGAGCTTCTGTAAGGCGAAGGCACAGGTTAACAGAACATGAATGCTGATTAGAATCAAACAGAGCCTGAAGGGGGCTGGGCAAAGGAAATGGCATTAACTAAATATTTACTGTATCTTAAAAAAATGTATTTACTATGTTCTAGACACTGTTCCAGACACATTACATCATCTAAGGGGCCCAAGACATGTGATTCAATCCCTTTTATTTATAAATGGGGTAGGTATAATATTTCATTTTAGAGATGGAGAATCTCTTTTCTTTTTAAGATTCTATTTATTTATTCATGAGAGACACAGACAGAGGCAGAGACACAGGCAGAAAGAGAAGCAGGCTCCCTGCAGGGAGCCTGATGTGGGACTTGATCCCAGGATCCTGGAATCATGATCTGAGTTAAAGGAAGATGCTCAACCACTGAGCCACCCATGTGCCCCTAGAGATGAAGAATCTAATGAGAGAACCTGATGAGAGGAAGACACTTCGCTTGTCTGAGGCAATTCATTCATTCATTCATTCATTCATTCATTCATTCAATAAATATCTTCTGGGCTCTCATGGAAGACACTGAGAATTAGAGCAGTGAAAAAAGTCTATAGACCTCAGGTCTCACAAGACTCTGACTTGCCCTCCACATCTCCACTGAAAAGATTAGAGCAGATTGGGCCTGGCACCCGCCCGAAGTAGTTTTTGCCTGCTTGGTCAGCCAGCGGCCAGGAGCAAGAGCAGCCCTAGAGAGCAGGCTGTGCCATGTTTTTGGTAGCAGCTGCATCCCTAGGTAGGCAGTTCAGTGTATACCCAGGGGGCCACCTGTCCAGGGAGGAGATGGGAGTGTCTGGAGGGAGGGCCTACAAGTAGAACTTGAAAGAGGGGGGAGGAGGAACCCCCAAATCTCATATCCTTTCACTGACCTTGGGAGGGAGATCTTATTTCCACGTTCCAGATGATGACAGGGAGACTCAGTAAGGTTGACTGACTTGTTCAAATAAGGGTCCTACCCAGGAGGGGAAGAGGCAGGCAGGTCCCAGATGCCGGCTCCGAGACCCCCACCCAGCCCTCTCACAGCCCGAGAGGGAAGTCTTCAGAGGCAGGTGAAGTGCTCAGGGAAGAGCAGCCCCGCAGTGATTCAGGAATCGATGCTGGGGCTGGGGGTGGGGGGCGGTGACTGTGATTTCTGCGACCAAGGTTTATCTGATTCCAAGCTCAGATCACACAGAAAATACAATTTTCTCCTTAAAAGGTTCTGTGGAAAAATGTTCTCTGTTCTGTGGAACACAGCCTCCTCGGCTGTGTTTGTGTCTGAAGAGAGGACTAGTCTGACAGGAAGAATTACAAATCTGGAGCTCATTTTGGTGTCCCAGAGGGAAGGTGGGTGGAGCGTCTCACAGTAAATTAGGAATTCAGAATGAAAACGTAGCCGAGTTTATTTGGGTTTCTAGTGACACCTCAGAATCATTGTGCAGGCGTGTCAGAGGCAAGTCAAAGTACTGACTGCTCCCCCTCCGCCAGGGGAGGAGTGCTGCGAGCCAAGAAGGGGAATCCTCGTCCTCTGGGGGGGGGGGTGTGTGTGGGGAGGGGGTGGTGGGGACCTTCCTCTTCCCACCTGGATCCGGAAGGGGTCAGAAGGAGGGAGTGTGGTTTGGAGCCTGGGTCTGGGTCTGCTCGGAGTTCCGGAGGGAGAGAGGCTGCGGGGTGGGGGGGGGGGGGGGGGGAGGGGGAGGCTGAGGGGCTGAGGGAGGAGGGGGCGTGTCCGATCTCAGGATCCGAGGCCCGAGGCCGGGATTTGAGGACTTTCGGGGCCTGGAGTGTGGTTGGGGTGAGAGGCTGACGGCGGGGGCGCGGACGGGCGGGGGGTAGGCAGGAGACTGAGGCTATCGAAAGTTGAGGCGTGGGTCTGGGAAGTGGAAGTTGAAGCCTGCCCGACGACCCCGCGGATCTGGGTGCGTGTGTTGGGGACGCGGGTGCGGGGCTGTGGATGGGGTCGGTGCTGGATCTTACGCGCTTGGAGAAGGTTAGAAGAGCGTCGCGCGGCCACAGCCTCTTCCCGAAGGCGCCTCACACCCAGACACCCCTGTGGCGCGACCCCAGGCGTCCGCGGCCGGAGGCCGGCCCAGGCCGGCCCAGGCCGGGGCGCCCCACACCCGGCCCCCGCCCCGGCCCCCTCGGAGCCGGGGGCGGCTCTGGCTCGGGCAGGGGCAGGGGTCTGGCAGCGCGGCCCCCGGGGAGCCTGGGGGCGTGGCCAGAGGCCGGCGCCCGCGGCTGCGGATTGGCTGTCCGGCGGGCCGGGGGGCGGGGCTCCGGGCTGGGTCCCGCTCGGCCGCTCGCGGAGCGCCGGGAGGCGGGGCCGGCGGGAGCCCGGCAGCCAATGGGCGCGCAGCCCCGGAGCAGTTACAAAGGGCCGGAGCGAGGCCGCCGCGGCGGCGGGAGGTGGGGCGAGGCGAGGCGAGGCTTGCTGAGGCGAGGCGGCGGCCGGGCCGGACCGGGCCACAGGCGGTGGCGGCGGGACCATGGGGGCGGCGGCCGCTGCTCCGCGCCCGCGGCTGCTCCTCCTCGTGCTGGCGGCGGCGGCGGCGGCGACGCTGGTCCCGGGGGCGACGGGTGAGCGGCGGCGCGGCGGGGCTGGCGGGCGGCTGCGGGGCGCGCGGGCCGGGCCCGGCCTCTGGCTCGCTCCCTCTTTCTCAAACATGGCGCGGGGCCGGGGGCGCAGGTGGCGGCGCGGGGCCGGGGCCGGGCTGGCCTGGCCTGGCGGCCGCCACGCGAGGCGCGGGCGGGGAGCGCGGGCGGGGCGGGGCGGGGCGGGGGCGTGTGTCCGAGCGCGAGTGGACGTGCCGGGCCGCCGGCGGCCGCCCCTGCTCCCGGCTCCCGGGCGCGGGGGGGGGGCGGCGTCGACGGGGCGGAGCGCTCGGCGGCCGGGGCTGCCTTCCGAGGAGCGAGGGGGCGCGGGCCGAGCGCCCGGGGGTGTGTGTGCGTCTGTCTGGCCGGGCCTGGCGGAGGCGGGGCGCCCGGCCCGGAGCGGGAGGGGGCGCGGGGCTCCCGGGGCCCCCTGGCGGGGTAGGGGAGCGGCGGGGGGGGGGGCGGTGTGCGGTGGAGACCCCGGGGTCACAGGGCCGCCGCCCCCCTCCCCCGAGGGGCTCCTTTTCCAGCCAGGGTGGCCTCGGAAGGGGAGCCTCCAAGCTTTGTGCGAGGAGGAGGAGGAGGCACGACGATGTGCGGAACGTTTCTTCCGTGCGTCTGGGGAGCGTTGAAGTGCATCCAGTAACCAGGAGGCTGCAGACTGTTTTCCGTAGTAGAAACTTGAACGTTTTGCTCACTCTGCGGGGTTCGGAACGTTTGAATGGGAAGGACTCTCCGGATTGATCGAACGCTTTTATTTCCTCGAAGGAACGTCGCCGGTGATGTTCCTTTTCTCGAGTGACAGTAGTTTCGAATCAGGAGTCCCTCCGTGCGGTTGGTTTTCCAGGGAGGACGTTTGCTCCGTTTTCCAAAAAGGTTAAATCAGGATGGGGTACGTGGGGTCATGATCAACCTCCGTGGGAGAGAGAAAAACCGTTAGCATCCAGACTAAAATACTAGAAACTAAAATATAGATCCTCAGTGTTAGAAACTAAATTACAGTGAAAGTACATTTCTGTTTCTAAAATTGAATACCAAATGTTTAAAAAACAAAGAACTCCAAGAATGAGACTGCCACTAGCTACTGTCTGTGAAGAGCTTTACCATGGTGTAGATACGCGTTATCTAATGCTGACCGTGAAACCCTCCTAGTGGCACTTGCCCCATTTTATAGATGAGAAGACTGAGCTTCGAACAGGTTAAGTACTCCATGACCAAGGACTGGAGTTAGGATTTGCACCCAGAGTCCAGTGTTCCCAAAACCTATACACCTTAATGTATATACTCGTCTGGCACAACCCGTGTTTCTTTTCACGTTCACTAATGAGCAGTTGGTCTTTACTGTTCACTTTTTGATTTTACCCTCACAATATGAAAATGAGGTTGACTTCCCAGTACATTCCTGGAGTCCCTTCATACTAGGCCTGGGTTAGAGGAAACCGTGGATTTTTGACATTGGCCTAGGGAGTGGGGGCAAGGTATATTAGGGGCAGGTGGGAGAATCAGTAGTTCGTGTATCAAGCAAAAGTAGCATTTCTACACCACTGTTAACTAGAATAGCATAGTTCCCTCTTTGTAGCCTAGCACACTAAGTGTTCCTGTATTCAAGGAACAGTGTTGGACTTAATTGATGCACAGAACTTTGCTCAACCCATGCTGGGGAGGAGCTTACAGACTGCAGTGGCATGTATGTATACAATACAGAGTTGATCCAGGTGCTGTTATTCTTAAGCCTACTTTACCTCAACTGGCCTGCTCACATTTGCTGGTTATGTTGATGTTGATCATTCATATATTCTAAAGAAGGTCAAGTGCAATTTTAAATTTATAATTTGCCTTCCTTTTTAAGACCTTGCAGTTGTTCCTTATTGTCTGGGTATCTGTTTTGTTTCCCTCTGACCAGCTTCTCTAATATAGATTTCTCTGGAGAAATTGGTTCTCTGGCCTTAGTACACAGATTAGTACCATACCAGATGTCTACATGGATATCTCATGTGAGAATCTGGTTTCCTTTCTGCCGTCATGTAAGTTTTTTCTTTGATAACATGCGTAGAGCCCAACTCTTCTTTATATCAATGCCTTCCTTTCTTTGTATACAGCCATCAGTTTAGTGTCCTGTTATCCCTTGAATCTGTTTGCTTTCCAGTTTCTCTCATCTAGACTTTTCTATAGGTTATGGCCAAACTAATCCTCCACAGCCATTCTCACAAAGGGTTTATAAGAGTTTCCATTTGTATTCAGCAACACTTGAGGCTTATGATTAGGGCCATTTCTGAGTATTCAACCAAAAATCTCACTTCTTATTATTACTCTAAACCTCCAGTTCCAGCGATTTCTGTTTTTCCACTGACTCCTGACTTTTTAGCCTTCTAACTACATACTTCCTTTTGCTCCTTTTGGGAGTGAGAAGTTCTCAGTTTTGGCTTCATGTACTGGTTTAGTTCCTGAACTCTTTATTTCCCTGAACTGTATGTATAGCGCTTACAGTTTGTATTGTTGTTTGTATTGTTTATTTCTACCATCTCGCACTTTTATTTATCTGTACTTTGGAATGGTACCCAGAGGGCAAAGGTTATGCCTTTTATTTCCTTTATACTTTCAGAGCCTAGCGCTGTGTTTTATATTGTTTGCTTAAATGCTCGTTGATTAAAGGAATTCCATTTGACTGAGCATTCCTTGAGTATTTATACTGCTTTATTTAAATGCAGTTTATGCACTATTAATTGACAATTCCATGTAATATGGGAAAATTGTATAATATGATGAAAGACACAATTGGTTATTCGATTTGGTTATTAGTCCCAACTTCACTTCTAGTTATGCAGAAAATCTGGATGATACCTACTTTAACTAATTCATGAGATCTTAAAGATCAGATGAGAAAGTTGTATTCCAGTTTGAGGTTGCTATTTTGTATTGATAATAATAGGTAGGACTAATGTTCAACCAGCAATTTCCACTGGGCTGTGTGTATTTTGATTGATCAAACATCCTTTCTGATTGGCTGGTAGCAATGTGGAGCCAGTTGTTAAATATTTTTAAGATCACCCTTACAGGGAGGTATGAGCGGTCCAAGAGGGAAATGATTAATATAGGTTGAAGTGATTGGGCGAGGCTTTCTGGGACTTTAGGATTTAAACTGACTTTGAAGGTAGCTCGAATTCAAATGGGCAGAGAGTGGGATTTGATGAGTGGTGAGCTGTCCTGAGGCCTACTCTAGGGCAGGAACCAAAACTTTTATTGATTGGCTGGCAAGTTCCTCTTTAGAGTTAAGTTCCTAATTCTATAGTATGGGTTTTGGATGTATATTAACCACTATTTCTTTACACCAGTTCTGAAAGCTCTGTAATACATGACAAGAAACAAAATAGAAAGGTAACCTAAGTGGGATGAATAAGGGGAAAATACTATGGGCTGCCTGCCAGGGGTAGACATTTTAATGGTGAAAGTTCTAAGTCACTTCAGTTTACAAGGGAAAAAAATGACATCAGGCGTTAGGTGAATTTCTCAGGGTCAAGCAGAACTAAGACAAGAATTTATCTCATTCCAAATCTTGTGCTCTTTAAAAAAATGTGAAGGACTTGGAGGGGGGAGGGTTAATGGAATGACTTACCTAAGTGAAGTTATCTTGAGTTTCACAGAACTTATGAAAAGTGACTTCTGATGTACTGTGGGCGGGGGGGGGGGGGGGGGGGGGGCGGTGGTGGTTGTGGTAGTGGTGGTGGTGGTTAAAACGTCCTCAAGAGAAAGTCAATGTCTTTTTTATATTGCTGATTAAAAGACCTGATATAGAGCTTATTGATTGAGAAGAGGAGGCTTTATTTAGTAGTTTGTAAGACGGTGAAACTGGGGTTTAGTTAAAATGGATGCAATTAAAGGCCTTACAGTTACATGGTCTAGATTTAGAATTTTAGATGATGTACTTTGTTGTTGAAATTAAATAGGGAATTGACATGATCAAAGTAATTGAGTGGGAGATAAATCTGTTCCTCTGGGGAGGGCTGCTTATGTGGAGAAGACCTTTGCTGAAAAATTCTTCTAGGCCTGTTGAAACATTTAATCTGAACCCAACACCATTCTGGTAGTACCTTTGTAGTGCATCAGATATGTTCATTTCTAATGACGTGGGTTTTGAAAGTGCCATTATTTTATGGATGGCCCTTTTGATGTGAGAACATGTCTCTTCAAATCACAGAGCCCCCTGCTCATGTCAACAAACAGCCTGCCTTTTGCTGTTCTTTCTTGGTTGTGGTTTACATAATACAAGTTCTCTGAACAGATGGGCTGTGGTTTATTATCATGTGATTGGGTCACATCTTTGCTTCCTGCTTCTGGAATTGAGTGAGGGCAGATGCTGGCATGTTTCTCAGGGATTTTTCATGCTTTGTCCCATAGAATTAGCTTGAGAAAACTTTTGGAATTTTCTTAAAAATTATGATCTATCTATCTTGACCCAGCCTAACTCCAGTGCTTAGGATAGATTAATGCCTTTCTTAACTGAATTTCCTCAATATCAAATCCAAGCATTATTCGTAAACATTAAGACTTGTTGCTACTTTGGAATAGATCCAGTTTGGGCTCAGATGATGCAGGTGGGTTTCTTATGGTTACCCTTTTTTGACATGCACTAAAGCCTATGGATAAGGCTTTTTGCCTTAAACACTTTCTCAAACACAATGAAGAGTGAGAGTGGAGTAAGTAAGTCTGGATTCAATTTGTATGGGTCCAATTTTATAAGTCAGATCTGGCCTTTTGTAAAGCTAGTCCCTTATTTTGGCATTCCAAGAACACACATTATAAAAAATGATTTCTAACAACAAAAAAAATAGGACTTGCAGGGGATACCCACAGGTCGCTTTGACATTTCTTGAACATTCAGTGATCCACGTACCATTTTTAACAATCTGAAAAGAATGTATTATAAGAATGTGCCAGGGGTGCTTGGGTGGCTCTGTGGGTTAAGCCTTGACTCTTGGTTTGGGCTC